TCAATTGAACCCAGAGGGTCCCGCGTTAAGTGAAATCCGCGTTAAGTGAACAACAGAACATATGGGATTAATTCCAATAGAAACCAGCCCGACCCCCAAACTCCACTTTTTGACGACACATAACTATGTTGTAGTAAAAATTCTATCTTAACTTTATGATGGTATGAAAAAACAAGTAATATAGAAGAGGTTAGGTTAGGAAAGATAAAGGTTAACATAGGAAAAATAAAGAATAGGTTAAAAAACGAAAAATTTTGTGGAACACTTACGGTAGTAGAAGAGATGGGTCGGCATACGGGGATGGAGGCTGGTTCCGAGGCAGAGGGCAGATTACTGGCCCTCAGGTGAATCACCATTACTAGGTGAATCAACATCACTGTCACTTACAGTTGTCAGGGCTTCCCTGACAAATCCCTCAAAGTCAACTTCACTTTCACTATCACTGGCTTGGGCTGGCTGTGGTGGGTTGCGGGCGAAAAACTCGGTTATGTTTTGCTGACGGCTGGTGTTGATGTTGTCGTGATACACCTTGATGTACGGCTCCATAGCCTGCACCAGTCGGGTATGGAAGACTTCATAGCGTTCATCGTCATTGTTGCGGGAAAGGACGGACTTAATTTTTTCTGCAAACTCTATGGCACACTTAATATCACTATGACTTAAACTAGGTTCTTCGGAGAATGACGCACCTTCTTCCTCCTCTTCACTGGCGTGTTCTTTTTCCAACATCTCGTCGGCAGTCACTTCAGGATCTTTGATCACCTCCAGGATGTCTTCGTTGGTGGTCTCGGAGAAGCCTTCAGCTGTAATATTGAGCGCAGCTTCTCTGGCAAGGTCCACTGCTACTGCAACAGTCTGAACCTGACCAGTCACAGGTTCACTCCTCCTCTCACCTGGTATGCCATGCAACACATGTCTCCATGCGTGACGAATCGTAGCAATAGTCAGCAGATCCCATGCCTCCACCAAGAAGTCTACAGCTTGTTTAACGTTAAACTTCTTCCAAAATTGTTTGACGAGAAGTTCTTGAGTCACTGCCTCTTGTTCCTTGTCCTCGTCGCTTTTGCTCTCGCTGTCGGTGTCACCCAGCTTACGCAACTCATCCTTGGTGTTGGTAGAGTCGTTCAGGAGCTTGAACTTCTTTGCAGAGTATGCAGCTTTCACATTGCAGATCAACTCCTGGTCCATGGGCTGGATTAATGACGTAGTGTTGGGAGGAAGGAAGACCACTTTTACGTTGGGGTGACGATCCATAAGTAGGGGCGAGTGTCCAGGTGCGTTGTCAAGGAGCAACAAAATATTGAATGGAACATTCTGTTGCTCGCAGAATTTCTGCACGTCGGGAACAAAACAGTTGTCAAACCAGAAGAGGACATCCACGCCTTACGTGCGGTTAGCCAGTGGACATTGTTTAGAGCCTGTTTTCTGAGGTTCTACAAGCACGGTGGATTTGAATGTTATATAGCGTAATATGAATTAAATGGGGTTTTTAGGAATGACAATGATGTGCACAGTACATAATCAGGTATATATTTACCAATTTTATTTTGCAGAGTCAAAACTAGGGCATGCAATGAAAATCATATAAGATTGCACTGTAATTAAAGAAACAAAATTTATTTACAGGAAAAAAGAAAACAGTAAATGCCATTCTATAAGAGTAAGCAGTAACTTACATAAAACTCAAATCATTCTTAAATGTGCCAACTCTTTAAGATTAATAACTCAGTAAGACCACATTAAAACATATTTTCAGTGATCACCATTAGCCCTCTACTTCAAGAACCTCATCTGTCAAGTTGTGAAAAAATTGTGCGTGATTAGATATACCTGCAAGCATATCTTAAAAAAATATCTTCAGAGGGCAAAAATTTGACTCATGACCCTGAACGTTTGAGGCACTCAGATGAGAAAAGAGCTCCATTTACAGTTTAAGTTTTTAAACTATTTCTTTCTTTGGTTTTGAAGAGAATAATTTTGCTGAATACTCTTTCACATTCAACCCAAAATTATCGTACAAACCGTACGATAATAGAAAATGTTATCGTACATCGTGACGAAGATGAATTTATCTTTTACTTTTTTTTACTTTTATCCTCTTCGCCACTTATCGCTTATACGCCATGACGTGGCCACGCCTTTTCGATGAGTATTCTTCACCAAAGATCGGCCTGCTGGGCGATCGGGTCACGCCTCTGTCACGACTGCTGGCAACAAGGCATGCACTGGCTCCTGAATGTACCTGAACCCGCCCAGTGTTATTGCCCTTGAAAGAGCCTGCCACCGTGCCGCCATGTTCCCTGTAGATTGTTCCAAAGAGCTGCAAACTTATCTCAAAAAGTTTGTCTCACGGCTTGGATGGAGGTTTCAATCTTGAGCGAGCCCCTTAGGGAAGGAAGGCCTGGGCCAGCTCCAAGTAAGGACACTCAACTGAGTAGTGCCCCCCTGAGATGCTTATACACCTCAACTAGGTCCCCCCTTGCCCGTCTGTAGTATAAGCTAGGCAAGTTCAGGCGCTCCAATCTCTCAGGGTAGCTGAGGTGCCGAAGTGCAGGCACCAGTCTGGTGGCCCTCCTTTGAACATTTTCAACCAACTGACAATCCCTAGCATATCTCGGGGACCAGATGAGGTGACAGTACTCCAGATGGGGAAGCACTTCACTCCTGAAGATCGTCACGAGGGACGGACCGTCTAGATATCTGAACGACCTTCTTATAAGACCCAATAATTTATTTGCCTGATTTACCTTCTTCTTACAATGGCCCGAGAACTTCAGCTCATTGTCAACATACACACCTAGGTCCTTCTCACATACAGTCTCAATTACTGCATTTTCTTCATCCCGTTGGGACATATGATACGCCTCCTTACCGTTGGTACGCCCCAGGTGCATCCTCTTACACTTCGTGACATTGAATCTCAGCAGCCATTTCTTCGACCATTCCTGGAGCCCACAGAGGTCCTTCTGCAACTCTTCACAGTCCGCTTGGTTCTTAATTTCCCGAAATAACTTGCCATCATCGGCAAACATTTGTATGGAGGAGTGTACAACGTCAGGCATGTCATTTATGAAACAAACAAACAACAGCGGGCCCAATACACTGCCCTGTGGTACCCCACTTGTTACAGGTGCAGATGACGATTTCGTGCCATTAATCACCACACACTGCTTGCGGTCATGTAGAAAGTCTTCTATCCACGCTAGAACATTTCCTAATTCGTTCTTCCAGTTTGATTTTTCTACTGTGGGTACACTGTCTAAAGCCTTGGCAAAATCTGTTAGGTAAAATATTATTTATATTACCACCGCTCCAGAATATGGGTCCAAATATCCAATAACGCATAATTATATACCGCATAAACCGTTACACCTTACAAGGGATGTTCCATCGCTGCATCTCTGATAATACTCTCAAGTACTTTACATATTATGCTGGTCAGGCTCACCGGTCTATAATTGTTCGTGGAGTGACTATCGCCCTTCTTGAAGATAGGACTCACATAAGCCACTTTCCATTCACTGGGAACCATTTGTTCATCCAGGTATTTACAAAACAGGAGCTTCAGGGGCTCTGCAAGCTCGTTGCACAGCTATCATACATGCAAGTAAATCACTGTAGGTGCGCGTGATCTAGTTATATGCTGATAACCACAAGGAAAGAAGAAAACACGAAGTTCCCAAGCGCTTTCGTGTAATTGAAGATGTGAATTACACGAAAGCGCTTGGGAATTTCGTGTTTTCATCTTTCCTTGTGGTTATCATACATGTATGATAATTATCATACATGTGACAACTCTGCTGCTTCAATATGATTGGCCAGCCAATTCAAATGCTATGATACCTGAAGGTCATGTCATTTCATGTCGCGAAGAGGAGGAGACAAGTGACTGGCAACATGGCGGGTACAGAAATTTACTCCTAGAAATTTTGTGAAATGTTCCGTTAATATTGATTTGCACAAGAAATGATATGAAGTCGTATGTTTTATTTTTTTTTGTAGCTGTAATATTGAAAATTGAAATCTTGCGGACAGCCAATGGATGAATATTAACATAAAATATTATAGTTCCATAATATTTTTTTTGATAATAGAAAATAAGGGAGAAAGGGAACACGGTGTTCTTACTTTCACTTCTAGCGAGAATAAATGTCCCTCATTCATTACTGTACAGAGAGACATAAATAAAGCCAATTATGCCAAACTGAAATTACCCTAAGATCTTAATGTTACATAAAGAATATTTATCTCAATTATATATATTTTATTAGACCTGTTTATATATCTAGCAGTATTATTTATCTTTTCTGAAATACGAAAAAGAATTTAAATCACCAACATACTGTAGTTTACGTAACTATTAAATACAATTTCAACCTTTATATATCTTCAATAGTTTAATAAAACCATTAAATATATATAAAATTATACATTTAAATAAGAGAACTGTGCGTTAGATACATGAATAATGAAAAAAAAAGTTATCACCATTAAATTAGTTTCTTAAGGTTGTTTGTGGTGTTTAGGAGGACAGCTGATCACTCCTCACAACTCAGACCAAATTTCCCATTCAAGTTTTTTCTCTCCCCTTACCATGTGATAAACAATCAGGTAAGGTCCTAAAACGTATATTAAAACCACTAATTAAACCTGAATTAATTTTAAAACTAGAATAAAGTTACGTAGTTGTAGATGAGATACGAATGGTGACTTGTTGTGCTTGTATAATAATTGACCTTTTTGAGTGAATACATAATTATTTATTTGTATATTGAGGGATTAAATAAGTATATGATGTGAAAGAGTGTGTTTTGGGGGTGTTATTTAGCGAGGGAGATGAGTTATGTATAATGGGTTAGTGTTATGTTGTTTACGTGTATATTAAGGTCAAGTTCTTTCTGGGTTTGTGTTATTTGACCTGTTCTTGATATAGTTTGATTTTATTTGACCTATTTTTGACATATTTTGACCTTATTTGACCTGTTTTATATAGTTTGACCTTATTTGACCTATTTTTGACATATTTTGACCTTATTTAACCTGTTTTATATAGTTTGACCTTATTTCACCTGTTTTTTTTATAATTTGACCTTATTTGACCAGTTCTTGATATAGTTTAGCCTTATTTCACCTGTCCTGTCCCCTAAAATATTAAAATTACCCAAACTAACCTAGCCAAAGGTAATTCTAACCAACCTAACCAATTTTAATATATTTTAACCAAACCCAAATAAAACCAAATCTAACCTAATAATCTTGTGGTCATTTTTGGTTAGGTTAGGTTCTTAACAATGAAAATATAGTGTTAGTGGATTATTTATATTATTTTCTTTTATAATTTATCTCTATAATCAGTCGCTTGAATGTCATTTTTATTTGAATTTTTTTTACCCAAATTAATTTTTAGCTGTGTAATTTATTTATTTGTTGCTTGTGTTTACTTTGTTATTTTTAGTTATATTTATAATTGAATGTTACTCTGGGTAGCTTCAGATGACCGATTAAATGTCGAAAAAGTCTGAATTACTAATACAGTCGAGTAACACTTGAAATGTTGGATACTGTACAAGAATAAAGGACTATTTCTTAAGCAGTTTTAGTGGATATATATATATATTTTTTTACATAGATCATTCTGTTCATTGTCATCCTCGCTGCAATGTTCAGTTACTTGGTGATGGCAGTGTGACAAGGAAGCTAAGTCCAGAATATGTCTTCAAAAGCAATACTCAATCTGCTTAATCAGCGCACATGGCTTGATTGATTAATACACCAAGGCAGTCAGTTTGAACCTGTGGTCTATTCACCCTGGATATATCATCTGTCGTACCGTATTAAAAAAAAATCAGCAAAATATCCCTCACAGACATCTGGCAGAAGAATTACAGTCTGGTGATGGCCTCATGACTTAGCGTTCCGTCAGCTCTTCTACTGTTATATATATCGTCTGTGTTGTGTACGAACTGATTCAAGTGAAATACAAAGAAAGGAGGTGGGAGATGTTATACTGGCAGATAGTAGCATTCATTCCTGTGTGTTATGTCAGGTTTGGTAAAATGATTATAAACTTGTTGCTTAATGTTGTTGTTGTTGTAGAATATTTCCTTTTGTTTTGAAGGAAATGGCCTGCAGTGCTGATGGCTTACCCACAAGTGAGGCCCTCAGTCTCTTGCATGAGGACATCTCCATCGCTTTGGATGAATATCAGAAGACAGAAGCTGAAAAGTAAGTGTAGAAAAGATTATTAATTAATTTTGAAATACAGTATTAACCTGTGGGGCATATTGGAGTCTGTACTTTCTTGTAAATGAGGCGTATAGACTAACCAGGGCGTATGTGCGAATATCTCAACTCGGTTCAATTATTCGGGCTGTACTGCATGTTTTCTGCCCTTGGTTTCTTATGGGATTGTACCACGCTGGAGGTGTATCCACATTGCCTGACAATGATGCTATGGACTGACACAGAAAATGGGAAATTGAGCAACCCAGTGATGTGCCCTTGCTATTGTAAACACCTCATATGTTTGGTGATACTGTATTATGTTTTATATTTCAGGAACAAAGGTTTTGGACCAAAGAGTGTTCTGTATGAAGCCTTCCACCACAAGAGTAGTCTCTCTGTGTTTCATTGGACATCAGTGATAGCGTTGATCGTTGAAGGCATCGTGCTGCTGGTGGCCTTCGCTGCATGTAATGACCCCAGGTGTGTACAGTATGGGTCCATAAAATACAACAGGCATATGAAGTTACCTTTGATTCTTTCTGTGCTATATATTGACCTGAGAATGTGGACTGGTGTAATATTCTCCATACATAGGTAAAAATATATGACCTTATGATTTGGTATGAGTGTAAATACAAGCAAACATACAGTAGCAGTAAAGCAACCATTTGTTGACAGATAGGATAACTACTCTGATGTCCTTAATAATTTTTCCATTAGAGAATTTAAGATGAATTTTGTTCTGTTTAGATTTACAGATGATGTAATATGTTTATTATTATTATCAGGTACCAGCATCTTCCTGCCGAGTCCTTCTTCATTTTCTTAGCAGTAATTCTTAACGTGTACTTGGTGTGGTGGGACACTCAGCTGAGGCACAAAGAGGTCCCAAGACTCACACACAACGTCTTAAAGGATCTTAAAGGTAAAGCATTGTGACTTACGGTAACGTTTTTTATTAATATCCGAACATTGTCTGTGAATTTTAAAACTGTTCTTTATTTAGTTACCCACAAAAGTACCGTCAGTGTGTGTGTTGTTTCATACTAGGACCTTGACACTACTCTCCTGCAACTTTCTACACTTATCATTACACCACTACCCACCACTGTTCTCTCCTAACTACAGTATTTGAGGTTTCTTTGTCACTTACTCTTGCTTGTTTCCGTTGGTGTCATGCGTGCCATTTTTTTTTTTCAGAATACCACGGCAATGTGTTGTGGTCTGCCGAGAACTATCCTCACCTCCACTCCCCCCTCTCCCCCTGCATCACCCTCCAGTGGACTCGTCGCGATGGTAACACAGTCAACCTCCCTTGGTCTCTCCTGGTGCGTGGGGATATTATACTCATGAAACCTGGACAGAAAGTTCCTGCTAGATGTAGGCCCATGCAGGTAAGTAGTATAATTTTTATTTATTCCTAACATTTACTGGTACTACAGTATATGCACAAGTGATGCAACCCTGGTGCCTAAGGTCCGTAATTGCCTTGGATAATGAGGAGTATCTATTGAAATATATGTGGTGAAAGTTGCTGGCTGAGAAAGCATCTCCCCTTATTCAAATTAATTCTTATGGGGGAAAATTGCCCCAATATTCACAATTTCGTTATTTTCAATGACTTTTAGGAATGCCTCCCTTGCGATAACTGGGGTATTCCTGGTACAGTATGCACGTGACACAGTACAGCCGGGCAGTCACCCAGCTGACCCAATGCCTTAATACATATGTTCACTTCCCACACATACACACACATGCTCTTAATTTTTTTTTTTTTAGTTTTATAATTTCTTTATTTCTAAGCCACATTAGAGTATTGTAATGATTTCTTTTCTTCTCAAACAAGCACAGAGAAGCGATAAACATACTGAGATAAGGGAGAAGGATGGTTTGTTGATCCTTTATATAATGTACTTTAAACCTTTGTTATCAAACCACTATAAAACTATTTAAAATTCAGATACTGTACCATGTGGCAACAATGGTACATATTCTGTTACGAGTAATACTATTAGAAATGTCGTTTGACAATAAATTGACGATACGTATTTAGATAGCCAAGCAACTTATGAATTACACTGGTGTCAATATACATTACTGGACCCTCGATAAAGAATGATATTAGGTTCCTGAAACCTCAATTAGTTGTGAATCATTCTTTACTGAACTTCTTATGGGAAAGAGGGCTAGGGTCTGAACATCGCAAAGATTGACTTTTTTAACTATAGTACGTATGCCTATTTTCATCCACGATGGCGTCACAGCAGTAGAGTACTGCATTCACAAGAGTACTGTACTGTACATAACATAAAATATGGTAAGAAATGATTTATTGAGAATCGTGCATGTCGTATTCTCTTTACCACCGATCAACAACTAACCATCACCATCTCCCTACTGTACACCCATCTTATGATGTCAAACAACAAGCATGGAATTATTGTGATCCTAATACTACTCATAATAAAATCACTGGTACTGTACTTCCCAAGGTAAAACTACTTTGTTCAGCAGCACACCTCCATACATTATTTGTTACTTATGGCATTATAAATTTTATGATTTGACAGATAAGGATGGGTGTTTTATTCATATTTTATTTTGCATTATTAACAAGGTTCTGAGTTATGAATAAATCAACTTATGAACAGGTCCTGAAATGTAACCCGTTCATTATTCAGGGGCCCCTGTACAGTATACAGATTCATCCAAGGCAAACACTTGGATGGATGCCAATATGCAGAAATTAAAAGCAATATAACATTTACGAGACAAAAACTTATCATATTTTCTTTAAGATCTGGAGAAAAAATATAACTTAAGTGTACATCTATTATCTATACTGTAATTCAAAATTTATATTTCTTTAATATTGTATACCATCAGCTTCAAATTATATAAAGTTAAATTTACCTGTACATGTGGTTTCTTCTCCAACACTTTCTATGAAGATATTTCATTCCATCCATCAATGGGTCCCAGCTTTCATAATGTGTGAGAAGTGAGACAGCAATAAAAGATGTCATCATGGGAATTGCACCAATATAAATTAGCAGTGAATACTTGATGCCCTTGAGCCAGATGTCCACAAACATTGTCAAGGGAATAGTTAAGCTCAAAGATAAAGTAGCCATCAATGATGAAGTAAGGAAGCATCCCCTGCAAAATAAAACACCTTCAATTCCCAAGTAATTCCAATGTAGGTCAAACAATTACAGTATTACCCCGCCTAACGCGGTTTCACTTAGCGCGTTTTCGCATATACGCGGTGCCTTGCCAGAGCTGAACTTTCACTTAACACAGATTTTTTCCACATATACGCGGTGAGTGTCCGGCTCGAGATGCTATTTTTAGATTTTGCCCACGCGCCACCCGCCTGCCTGCCTGCCTGTGCTCCTCGCCTCTCCTCCTCCCTCCGCTTGGGCAAGCCGCGCGGTAAGGTTGCGCAGTGTGTGTCTTTGTTGCGTTATCACTGACGTCATATGACGTATCGGACTGTGATTGGCCATGCATCCCTACCCCCCTCTGCTGCTAGCTGTAATTGGCTTAAAGTATTATGACGTGACCACCCCGGGGAGGGAGGGAGGGAGGAGAGACGATGCTTGACCTAGCTGCGGCAGTTTCATCCCTCAAGGCCACACCGTGTTAACGCGCATCCATTGTTCCGTAAAATGGCTTCCGCCGGACCACCATCGCCCCCAGAGAGAGACCTTTCCTTACCTGGACCCAGCGGCACTAAGCCAAAGAAGACACGACGTTCATTAAGCTACGAGGTGAAGTACCAAATTGTTCAAGATTTGGAGAAAGGAAGACGGCAAGTTGATCTCGCGCGCCAGCATGGCGTCAACGAATCTACGATTCGTACAATCAAGAAGGATGCAGCCAAGATCAAAGAGCACATGAAAATCACAAAGTCTGCAGGTGCTTCATCTATCAGGTATTGCCAGAACAGGGTGCTGGCAAAAGTGGAAAATTTGCTGGTGAGTTATTTGGTGCGTCAGGCGCGACGCAACATGGCGGTGGACACGCGCTCAGTGCAGGAGTACGCACGTGAGCTATACGCAGCAGTGACACGTAAACTGGGAATTGCAGAGCCCAAACCCTTCAATGCTTCCTCTGGTTGGCTGCATAGGTTTAAGAAGAGGAACAAGATCACCAACATCAACATTGGTGGTGAGGAAGCGAGTGCTGACCGTGTGGCGGCTAGAGATTTTCCTCCGTTTTTACGTGAGATTATGGAGGAAGGACAGTACAGTGACGACCAGGTGTTTAACATGGACGAATCTGGTCTTTTCTGGAAAAAGTTACCTTCCAAGACCTTCGTTGTCCAGTCTGCCAGCAAGGTAAGGGGTCGGAAGTTGCAGAAGGAACGCATCACCGTCCTGTTTACCACCAATGCCTCCGGTACCTGTAAACCAAAGTTATCGGTGATTCACACAGCCCGCAAGCCGCACGCCTACAAGAATATGGACATGAACAAGCTTAATGTCCACTGGCTAACCGCACGTAAGGCGTGGATGTCCTCTTCTCTGTCCCTCTTCTGGTTTGACAACTGTTTTGTTCCCGACGTGAAGAAATTCTGCGAGCAACAGAATGTTCCATTCAATATTTTGTTGCTCCTTGACAACGCACCTGGACACTCGCCCCTACTTATGGATCGTCACCCCAACGTAAAAGTGGTCTTCCTTCCTCCCAACACTACGTCATTAATCCAGCCCATGGACCAGGAGTTGATCTGCAATGTGAAAGCTGCGTACTCTGCAAAGAAGTTCAAGCTCCTGAACGACTCTACCAACACCAAGGATGAGTTGCGTAAGCTGGGTGACACCGACAGCGAGAGCAAAAGCGACGAGGACAAGGAACAAGAGGCGGTGACTCAAGAACTTCTCGTCAAACAATTTTGGAAGAAGTTTAACGTTAAACAAGCTGTAGACTTCTTGGTGGAGGCATGGGATCTGCTGACTATTGCTACGATTCGTCACGCATGGAGACATGTGTTGCATGGCATACCAGGTGAGAGGAGGAGTGAACCTGTGACTGGTCAGGTTCAGACTGTTGCAGTAGCAGTGGACCTTGCCAGAGAAGCTGCGCTCAATATTACAGCTGAAGGCTTCTCCGAGACCACCAACGAAGACATCCTGGAGGTGATCAAAGATCCTGAAGTGACTGCCGACGAGATGTTGGAAGAAGAACACGCCAGTGAAGAGGAGGAAGAAGGTGCGTCATTCTCCGAAGAACCTAGTTTAAGTCATAGTGATATTAAGTGTGCCATAGAGTTTGCAGAAAAAATTAAGTCCGTCCTTTCCCGCGACAATGACGATGAACGCTATGAAGTCTTCCATACCCGACTGGTGCAGGCTATGGAGCCGTACATCAAGGTGTATCACGACAACATCAACACCAGCCGTCAGCAAAGCATAACCGAGTTCTTCGCCCGCAACCCACCACAGCCAGCCCAAGCCAGTGATAGTGAAAGTGAAGTTGACTTTGAGGGATTTGTCAGGGAAGCCCTGACAACTGTAAGTGACAGTGATGTTGATTCACCTAGTAATGGTGATTCACCTGAGGGCCAGTAATCTGCCCTCTGCCTCGGAACCAGCCTCCATCCCCGTATGCCGACCCATCTCTTCTACTACCGTAAGTGTTCCACCTAACTTTTAGTTTCTCTTAGGTAACCTTCATTTTTCCTATGTTAACCTTTATCTTTCCTAACCTAACCTCTTCTATATTACTTGTTTTTTCATACCATCATAAAGTTAAGATAGAATTTTTACTACAACATAGTTATGTGTCGTCAAAAAGTGGAGTTTGGGGGTCGGGCTGGGTTCTATTGGAATTCATCCCATATGTTCTGTTGTTCACTTAACGCGGATTTCACTTAACGCGGGACCCTCTGGGTTCAATTGACCGCGTTAAGTGGGGTACAACTGTATAGAAGGTGTTAACTAAGAAGACAATTCCAAAAAAAAAGAATCTTTACTGCAAAATTTTTTTCTTGCATTATCAGCTAAGAGAGGAATGTATGATATTCTCTGAAACACTTCAATTCAGAAACAAATTCAGACTTTATTTCAAGAAATAAAGTATAAAGGTAAGCACCTATTTGGTACATCCTTTTTCTCTTTTATGATACAGTGGCTACAATCAAGAACATATACACACACACACTGTTCGTTTTTGTCACTCATCCTCTAAACCGCTAAGACACATGCATTGTGCGATATTGTTCCCTTCCACAACAATGCTCAAAGACATCCTTCTACATTTTCCCTGTCACTTTACACAATCTAGCATCCTCAAACCACAGAGTCCATTCTCAAAAAGTACTTGATGCCATACTGTCTAGTCAGGCTCAAGATGATTATAAACTAACCTAAGGTATCATATTGTTTCA